TTTTATGCTTTTCTATTCAGTCCAGGCTGGCCTTAAACTCCCAATCCTCCTGTCTCGGCCTCCTGAGTGCTGGGATTACAGGTGTGTACCACCACACCTACCTTTTTCATTTGTTTTCTTAGACAAGGTCGGCAAGTCCAAGGCCAGCCTGGGCAATTTAATGAGACCCAATAAAAACAATAAAAAGGCTTAGAATGCGGTTCACTGCTCCTTGGGTTCAAACTCCAGCACCTAGTCAGGCAAGGAAGTACACTGGAGCTGTCCTCATCAGCCTTCATTAATCAGGGGCTTGGGGAATAAGCAGGTCTCTGCTCAGAGTCTGCCTCAGTCTCCTAGCACTTGGAAACTGAGGCAGGAGGATTGCCACGAGTTCAAGGCCAGTCTAGGTTACATGGTAAATTCAAGGCCAGTCAAAAAACATTATCTTAAAAAAAAAAAAGCCCAAATTCACTCTTCCTTTATTTCCCAAGTACTAAGGCTTGAAACTATGCCTGAGCTACATCCCACCCAACCCTTTAAATTTTATTTTGACACAAGGTCTCAGGAAATAGACAGCTGCCTAGGCTGGTCCAGAAGTTTGGATCCTCCTGCCTCAGCCTCTTGCATCACCAGGATTACAAACACACACCATTGCTCCCAGCTTCAACAACCATTCTTAACTATTCCTGCCTCTAGGATCAGATGCACTCAGAGAGGTTCATGAAAGCTTCCGTTTATTCACTCACTCAGCTGCTCAGCAGGCACCTGAGTGCTGAACCCTGTGCTGGACACACAGTGACAGCCAGCCTGGCCTCAGGGGCTCACGGTGAGCCGACACAGTGTGAGACTGCTGGCATCTGGGAGCCGGGAATCGCCTGGACCCCCAACCCAGCCAGGTGTCAACAGCGCCTTCCTGGGAGAGGAGACTCTGAGCAAAGACCTGCTTATTCCCCAAGCCCTGATTAAAGAAAAGGCTGACAAGGACAGGAGCAGAAAGACAGCACTGGAGTCAGCTAGCGACTCAAGGGGAGAGAAGGACACCAGGGACAAGTCAGGAACACAGAACCCAGTCGCATCACGACACACTCATGCAAACTACCTCAGTCACCCTGCACCTTGTCTGGGGCCTAGAATGAGACTAGGGGCCTGGATGAGCAGCCTCCGCCAGTGCTGGGCCGCCTCTGGCAGCTTGGCAGCAGCCCATCTACATGCAGATCACGTTCCTGCTGGGGACACTGGCTGCCTGTACCAGCCCGCACCACAAAGCACCCACAGACTTGTTTCAAAGGTCTCCGTGTCTTCCATCGAGGGGCTGATCGCGAACGTCAGCCTGTCCTGAGGGGAAAATACGCTGGAGGCTCCCTGCTACCAAGGCCTCCCGAGCAACCAACTCCAGCCTTCCTTCTTTCAGGCCACCCACGGCCCTGACCCAAGTTCCAGCTCCTTCCAACATCAATGACAAGAGCTGATGTTTCTGGGGCAATCGATGCCCCAGGTGGGCACACACTCGAGCCTATGTGCCCAGCCTTCCTACAAGTTGGCAAGGTAGCCGCTCTCTTCCTCCACTAATAACTGCAGTGGTCACGGAACTCATCACACACGCATCCAGTTGAGACCAGGCAGAGTAACGTTTACACCTTTGAGCTGGATATAAACGTGGCAGTATTGTATGGACAGTAGGACATGAATAAAAGGCTTGAGAAAACATCTAAAACCTTAACAACTAGCATGGGCACCCTTGCCCCTTTCCCTCCCTCCTTCTGCTCTGCTTGGTGCACTGAAGATGTGATGGCTTAGCCCTTGGGACAGGTCTGGTTAGAGAAGCGATAGCCAACAAAAAAACAAAAACTGATCATCAGATGCTGAGCAGAACTGACTGTGTCTGGGCTTTTCTGTAAGTCAGGAATAAAGTTCATCTTGTGAAAGCTTCTCATGTTTTAGGTATCTGTCACCCAAATATGATGGACACAACATGTCACCTCACATACAGAATAGCAACAACACTCAGGGAGATAGTCTCTGGTCTAAGGCCCAGAATATGGACATCGAGCAGTCAGAATTTAAATCCAGAACCCTAAGACTCCAAACTGTAAGGGACTAACCAAAAAGGATCTTACTCCTTGGACAAACTGCTTCACCCTCCACACCTACCCTCTGCAAGGCAGAGCCAGGTGGGCAGCTGGGAGGTCTGGTTTCCACCTGCCTGCAGAGTGCAGAGCTGTGCCAGGCCATGACTCCTGAGCTTCTGCTTCTCTGTAAATGGAGATACTAAGAGCGGCCTCCTGGTCTGGGGTGAGAGCGTGAGGAAGCAGGGAGACACTCCAGGTGCTGAACGCATCTGGGACTCATGAGCCATTATCCTCAGCTGCCTCTGTGGCACAGGAGCAGCAGCAAGAGCCAGCTCTCAGGGCCTGCTCAAGGAAAGAGGAAGGAAGTGCCCAGGTAGTGGGCACTGGGCCTGGAACACGAACCACCTTCATAAATGGTAGCTGTTCACCTCTGAGCGCACAGTGTGTTCCCAGCACTCTGCTGAGGCCTCGACTATGACCCAAGCACTGTCCTGGGGGTCATATTATAGTTATCTGATGCCACCAGATAGGCTCTCCCTCTACCCAGCAGATCTTTCCTGGGTGACAGAGGCAAGAGAGAAGCTCAAGAAGCTTCTCTGCTCTGCAGGGCTGAGACTTCCCTGAAGCCTGAGAGCTGACAATGAGCAAAAGCTATGCAAGAATGGGAAAACGTCCTGCGACTGTAGAATGTTGGAGTCAGTGGAGGAATAGCCAGGAGACCAGGATGACTTGAGCAGGGGAGCTAGATAGAGTGGAGAGGCATGAGTCTAGGGGAGGGGCAAAAGCCAGAGTAAGAGCTGGGCTGGCAGCTGTGTGGCTGGGTGTTTGTCTAGCATGGCAAGGCCCTGGGTTCCATCCCCAGCACTGGGAGGGAAAAAACACCAGGCCTTACAGGCTATGATGAGGAGCGTAGGCTTTCTCTCAAAGGTACTAGAGAACCACCGAGGTGCTCTGAGCAAAGAGGTAGAAACAGGGCAGCTTTGTGCTTTACAAAGGCCTCTCTGGCCTCCTGAAAAGGATGGGCTCAAAAGGACAAGACAGTCAGAAGAACAGGGAGGATGCTGGATAGTGACACCACAGTACACAGCAACATCTACACACACGTCACCCAACAAAACTAAGCCTGGTAAACACAGTGGCACCATTTCAACCTGGGGTTTCAAGGACAAGTGCAAGCTAAACAGGTGAGGAGACGCGTCAAAGGCCAAAGCACTGCTATGGCAGACAGAAAAAGGCCAGGGGAGTTGCCCAAGAAAGTAGTTGAGAGGCTGGCAGAAGCTAGGCCACAAGTGCCGTTTAAGCCACAGCTTAGAATCTTGATTTTTTTCCTCCAAAATCAACTAAAGCACAAACAGAAAAAAAAAAGTAGCCACTTAATGACTACTGATGGCATGTTACTAGGGGTCAAGCAAACCCCAAGGGTAGCTGAGCTCCTCTGGGTCCTGGGAACACAGTAAAAGATAGCACAGTGCTCCGGAGACTGTTCCTCATCTGGACTGCTCAGAAGGTTACAAAATCTCCCCTCTTTCCTGGTAACACTAGGTATGCACTCCCACGCCCCGGTAGACGGTAACAGGACCCCCATAGGTCCTTACTCATAAAGACACCCAAGAAGCAATTAGGGACAATTCTCCTGGGCAAACAGGGCTCTAATCCTGGCATGCTTCCAAGCCCAAATTCTGCCTGGCTGAGCGACTGGGGCCCCTCCCTCGGGATGCTCTCCCACCCCAGGGAAAGGCTGGTCACTCACGATCTTCTCATAGTACTCCCGCCGCCGCTCTGCTCTCTTCTTGTAGTCAACCATCATGCCTCGAAGCTTCCGCTCATGCTTCCGAGCTTCGTGCCACATTGTGGTGAGGCCAAGCCTGGGGCCTCAACCTGGGAGATGAGGGGGCCGAGGGAGGTGTCAGACAGGCTGTAAAAACCATATGGGCACAGTCACAGTCACCTGCCCAGGTGGGGACAGAGATGACCCTAAATATCCTGTCTCCTCAGCTTCGGGGAGGGGAAGGGAGGCTGCAGAACTGTGGGCCGGAGCCTCAGGTGTATCCCTGACAACTCTGACCCAGTAGTTTGCGGCACTCTGAAGAGTCCTAAGTGACTCTAGGACGAGCATCTCTGAAGGGAGGAGTGTCCTAGGTGCTGGAGTCGGAAAGAGAGGCTCGAGGAAAGGAGAGAGCTGCAAAGGACATCTGTGGGTGTGGGGACAGGGATGAAGGCCTGGGGAAAAAGAGCAAACTTTACAGGAGCCGTGCAGTGTTGTGGAGGGGGTAACCGAGGGCAGGTGAAGGGCGTGGATGGAAAATGACGCCACTTGACGGAGGACTGCGGAGGAGGCTGCCGGGAGAAAGCGAAGGGGGCTGGTGTGCCAGGACGGATCTGCAGCGAGGAGGGCAACCAGGAAAGAGGAGGAAGGCGGAGTGGGTTTGGCTCCCGGCCGGGGCGGCGAGGGCGGGGGCGCGGGGGGTGAGGCTGAGGGACGACGTCTGGTGACAGGGACGGGGCCCCGAGGGTTCGGACAGCGCTCGCGGACCAAGTCAGCGCCAAGCCGCACAAGGCAAACAGGGCCCACGGCGGGGCAGAGGCGCGGCCCGGACCCGTCCGGAAGAAAGGGGTGCGGGCTGGCCTCAGGGACCAAGGCGCAGCCCAGAGGGCCCCAATACAGGTGAACCCGAGCTAATGCCATCCGAAAGCCAGGAGGTCTGGTCGCGACACCTGCACTCACCGGCTGGCCGCCGCCACCTCCCACTGCTGCGCTCGCGCGCGGCCCGCACCGGAAGCGGAAATGGGGACCCGCGCGAAGGGGCGGAGCAGAGCATCATCGAACGGGCTTCCGTCGGCAAGGGGCGGGGCCTGGGCGCGAGGGACGGAGCCTTAGCTGATGGGTGGGGACACGTGGAGAGGGCGGAGCAGAGGCTGGGGTGCTTCCTAGCCGGAAAGACGAGGCACCCCAAAGCTTAAAAATTAATTTTTATTGGGAAGACTGCAAACAACCCGCAGGTTGCACAATACTTCTAATCTTCTCTCCGACGGCCAGAAAAGGCGCTTCTTTTCCTCCCCCGATTCCTTTTTCCGATCTGAAAACCCGGCTCCAGGGGAAGCCGTGGCCCCGCGCTTCTCCCCAGGCCTGCAGATGTCCGATAGGGCGCGGGGTCGGGAGTTAACCATTGTGAGCCCGAGGATGGGGTTACCTGGCCCGCCAGCCTCCCGACCCCCCGCAGTGTTCTGGAGCTACGTGGCCTCGGGCCCTGGGGACAGCAGGCCGCCCCCGAAGGCCGCCTCGCGGTACTGGTTGGGGAACATGTTGCTGCCCACGAGGCTGGCGGTGCCGCCGTCCGCGGAGCCCGAGGCTGCGTATGAGTCCAGCGTCAGCGGCTCGGGGCCAGGGGGCTCCCCGACCGCCGGGCCCGCACCCCCACCGCCAGGGACAGCGCTGGCGAGCGGCGGCGGCGGGGGCAACAGGTCCAGCATGGTGAAGAGCGAGGGCGCCGTGGGGTCGTAGGCAAAGCCATCGTCCAGGAGCTCAGGTGCACCGGGGGGCTCGAGGCCGGGCAGGGACACGGTGCCAGGGAAGAAGTCTGTGTCGGCCAGCAAGGCTGACTGCGGCAGGAACGCGCCTAGTAGGAGAAAGGTGAGGCTTGTTTGGGGGCCACTGGAGGTGCCCCATCCCGGGTCGTGGGGTGGCTGATCATCATCTTCATGTAATCAGCAAACTGTGCTGGCCTCAAGTAATGCACACCTGAAATCCTAGTCACTACTGGAGAGGCTGAGGCATGAGGATTGCAAGTTTCAGCCCAGCCTGGGCAATTTAGGATTTAGCAAGACCTTTGAGGATGTAGCTACCGTGCAAAACACTGAGTTCAATCCCACCACTGCATAAATAAATATATAAATACATAAATAAATGCTGGGGATGTTGTTCAGTGGGAGAGCGCTTGCCTAGCGTGCTCGAGGCCCTGGATCAAACCCTGCAAAGGGGAAAAAGAAGCAAACAGGAAAAATAACTGAAAGTCACACTGCTGGCCAACTGTGGCACCAGGACTGAATTTACGTTTTTGCTATGTTTTTTCCAAGATGGAAGAAAAAGAGGAGGCCCCTTCCTAAGTATAGAGAACCCACGAAATGAAATTTCCGTATCATGAGAAAGTCCTCAATCCCCAAACTGGAAGGTAGAACAAACGTCATTATAAGAGAGCAGCCAGGCATGATGGTACACTTAGCAGGCTGAGGCAGAACAGTCTTTTCGAGTTCAAGTCCAGCCTGGGCTACAAAGCCAGACCCTGTCTCAAAAAACAAGAGAGCTCAGTGGCATAAGCACCTGCCTTGCAAGCAAGCAGTCCTGAGTTCGATCCCTGGTACCGATAAAAACGAAAAAGACAAAAAAAAAAACAAGAGAGCTACACACTACCCAGGCTGAGTATTGACCCCACTGCCCTAGTCATGGTAGCAACTAAACAACACTCCCAAACTGCTTTTCTTCTTTTTTCAAACAAGACAAACATTAGCAATGCTGATTATACTTTGTCTCTAGGGGGAAAAAAAAAAACCACAGGGCTACTGGAATTCTCAGCTTCCCTTGTAGCATATGATCACGTGACCAAGTTCTACCTGGACTATGATGGACATGATGGCTGGAGCCACATCAGCCAGCTTGGACCATGAAGTGGAAACTGCACATTGCAATTGGCAGGAGCATGGGTGTGTTATGATCATGCAGCCACCAGGCCATCCCTGGAACATTTACCTTTGGATTGTGTTTTTGAGGAAAAATAAGGTTCTGTTGTGTTACTGTGGGATTTGCCGTCAAATGCATCTAAAAAAGATCCTAACAAATGAAGGTGGCATTCCTGATTTCTGGCAAGTTCTTAATCTTAAGGCATGAACTCAGTACCAGCCACTATACTGTGTAACATAATCTTACTAAATACCACCATGGACCTAAGACATTAAGTCTCCGTCTGACAGATTGAAGAAATGTCTCACACAGGTCACATGACTGCTAAATTGACCAGAGTTGAAACCAACTGATTCCAGAAGCCATGTGTCTCACCATTACACTGTTTTTGCTACTAAGGCTGTGACCCAAGAAGGTGGGGGGCTTAGGACTGAGAAAAGGAAGATGGGGTAGGGAGCTGTGGGGATTGGGTGGGAGGCTGGTAGAGTGAACTAGGATTGGTGGTTGCTAGGGGCGGGGCTATTGGGCTCGGGTTACCAGGTAGAAGAGGATGGACTCCTGGTACCACATGTGGTAGGTGCCCTGGCCTTGATGGTATTGGGATAGCTTTTTTTGCTGTTTTATTTTTTGTTTGCAGTTTGGTTTGGGTTTTTGTTTGTTTGTTTTTTGCAGTACCACACTAGGGATTGAACTCCACTGAGTTACATCCCAACACTTTTTATTTTTTAGAGCAGTTCTAAATTGCTAAGGTGCCCAACCTAAGCTCGAAACTTAGGCTCCTTCTGTCTCAGCCTCCCAGAATACGCCACACCAGGCCTGGCAGGAAACAGCTTTCTTGGAGCTGGGGTCAGCGGGTAGAGAGGCTTTTTCAGAGGGCAGCCAGTTAAGCGTGGAGCTGGGAGAAGTGACCAACCCAGCACCACAGCAGGCCTGCAGGTGATGGGGACGGGAACCAGGACCAGCGCTGACGTAACAGTCGGGGCTGGCTCCAGCCACCTGTGTGTCATTCTCCCTGCCACCTGCCTCACAGACATCACTGCTCATCTATGAGCCCAGTCCCGGCTGTGCTATGACCTGGGACAAGTGACCTCACCTCTCTGGGCCGCAGCTGTTTCACTTTTAAGATGTAAGGACTGGTAGGGTGACTGCAGACTAAGAGCACTTCCGTGCCCATCACACACTGTCTGTAGAAGAAAATATGCTTCAACCACATTTTTTATGTCTCTAGCCACAGGGATCTCCTAACCAAGGACTTAACCAGACCTGACTCTGTTAACTTCCAAGATCTACAAGACCAGGAATATTCAGAGCAACGTGGCTCTTGGCTAACATAAACTGTTAAGACCCAGGGAATCGGTGCTATGAGTTTTCAGAGGAGCCCTGGAGGACCAGAGAGATGGAGCGAGCAGACAAAGATCACACAGGAAGTAAATAGCCCAGCGGAGGCCAAGACTCCATTCAGTCTCCAGAGCCCTTGTTCTGTCTACTCCAGGGTGCTGGCTAAGTGCTGAATCACTGGCCCGCGAGAAGCTGCTAGAAAAGCAGAGGCAGGAGCTTGCAGGGAGCCAGGACCCACCTGAGCTGTGGCTGGGCAGGAAGTGGTCCAGGAAGACTGGCTTCTTCTTCCGCCGTTTGCTCTCAATGCCATGGGGGTCTGAGGGAAGGCAGGATAGAGATGAGGACGCCTTCACAGGGTGGGGTTGGAGGGTGGCCACCCCCTCCCAGGGACCTGGGAATGGGTGAAAAGGGGGGAGGGGAACACACCAGAACTGTTCAGCTCCCCAAGGACATCAGGCATCCCTCGTTTCCGCTTCTTGTCCACTCCATAGGTGTCTGTTCAGGAATGCGGGGCATACAAGCAGTGATCCATCAGTAACAGTAACTAACCGATAACCAACCATAGAGACTAGGAGATAGCTGAGCTAGCTCTTGAAAAACCAATGCAAATAAATGTCCATATTTCTTTCAGCCACCCTGGCCTCTTTGTTGTTCCTAGAACCCTGCAGGTGCGGTCCTACCTCAGGACCTTTGCACTCCCCAGCTGCATAAAACACTCTTCCCTGACCCATCACTGCCCTGGAAGACTGGCTCAGTCATCTTCCTGTCCTCAGTTCAGCAGCTCCCCATCCATGAAGCCTTCCCATCAGGTCCCTTGAACATCTCCATTCTAGTCCTGTCCATTCTGGTCATCTTGGTGAACCTCCTGAGGGCAAGGCTGGGAGCTATCTTATTACCACTGGATTCCCAGCACCACCCTATGCCAGGCCAGGCAGGAGCAGCTGCTTCCCAACACCTGCAAGCAGGCACTATGTCTGCCTGGCACAGGAGGCTGAGGCTGGGAAGCCCCAGTCCAGGGAGCTCGAGCCTGACTTTCCCTCCGCCTGTCCCAAGCACAGCCCAAGGCCTGGCCTCTGGCAGCCAAGGTTACCATGGTCCCGGGGCAGGTAGGTGAAAGGCAGCGGCTCGCTGCAAACCCCATCTGTGAGCCTTTGCAGGAAGACGTTGACAGTCACAGGTTCCAGGATCTCCAGGTCCTCGTAGGGTGGCGTCTTGAAGACGATGGCGATCTGCCGGTGCACGTCGGCCTGGGAGAAGTCAGCCCGGCCTTCCCAGGAAGCTGTGCTGAACACCACCGATATGTCCTCTGCGGGACAGCAGGGGCAGCGGCAGAGCCACGACATCAGGCCCACGGAGACCTGCCTGCTTGGCCTCCCCCAGATCAACCCTAAGATCCCTGAAGACCGGCAGCCTCCAGCTTCCACGGAGGACCTATAGCAAGCCGGGCACTGAATGTTTCTCTTTTTTCCTTTTTTTTTTTTTTTTTTTGCAGTCCTGAGAAGTGAACCCAGGGCCCAGCCTCTGAGCTGCATCCCCAGGGCTTTTTTATGTTTTTAATTTTGAGGCAGGGTCTTGCTAAATTGTCCAGGCTGGACTTGAACTTGTGATCCTCCTGTGTCAACCACCGAAAGTATTGTGATTACAGATGTGCACCAGTACACCCAACTATTCCACACATCTATGTACAGATGCTCCCTCCCTAATGATGAGGTTATAGCCTGCTAAAATACCATTAGCTGACATACAATCAGGTCAGAAATGCATTTACTGCACCTAAGCTGCCCAACATCACTGCTTCACAACACAGCACGCTGTGTGTGACACGTCGGCTATTTCTCCTCGTGGTTTCGTGATTTCAAGATGACTGGGCACCGTGGCTCTCTGTGACTGCCCGGCTTCATGAGACAGTACCAAATATCAAAAGCCACCATACCCAGTTTCTAGCTGGGTGTCACGCCTGCCATGCTAGTACCTTGGGAGGCTGAGGCGGGAGGATCACAAGTTTGAGCTCTGTCTGGGCAACTTACTAACCCAGCAAGAGGTTCCCCCTGAATGGATACTGCTCGAGCAGCACCATCACAGAGCTGGGAAGCGGCACCTGGATAACTCCAAGTGGGAACTATCTGTATGTCTTCCCCAGCACTGGCCCAGACAGCTCTCCATGCTGGCACAAGTGGGCCTGGGAACCAGCCGCCTGCTTCTTTTTTGTTTTTCTTGAGTTGTTCAGTTTTATTTTGTGTCGAGACAGCATCTTGCTACGTAGCCCACACTGGCCTCAAACTCACAGCAACTCTTCTGCCTCAGCCTCTTGAGTGCTGGAATTACAAGTGTGCACAGCTGCTATGCCTGGTTTCCAACTGCCCACTTGGGTCTGTCCCCAGAGCCAGGGCTCTGGGTGCTGCAGCCCCACTGCCCTGTCACCCAGTACCGTCGCGCCCCTCACCTTTCTGCACTTTGTCGCATAGCAAGTAGAGCTCCTCGCCACCTGTGCATGGCCCGCTCTCCTTGTTGATTCGGCAAATTCGCAGCTCCGATGTGTTTGTGGACTCTGAGGAGGAGTGACAGGCAGAGGAATACGAAGAAAATCAAGGATTCAGTCATCAAACCCTGGTGATCATGGGGGAAGCAGGAGGCAGCGCATCCTTGGTGCTGAGGTCCAACGGTGTGTCCATCCCAAGGGGACCTCCACACTCAGAGGTAATGGGGCCAGGATGGGGAGCAGGCTGTGGAGGTCCCTGGAGCAGGTTCAGGACCATGCACAGTGGATACTTCTTTCCCCATCTGGCAGTCTTGGCAGCAATGGGAGGGACCAGCCCCAACTCAGCAGATTATGTGCCCCAATCTAGCCAATCAGAGCATCCATCTCCCTCTGGCCACGGCTGGTTGATCAAAGAGGAACAAATAACCAAACTCGGACCAATGAGAGACAGACCTGAGACTCTAAACAAAAAGAGAGGCTAAAAGCAGCTGTCTTTGGGAGCCACAGATGCCAAGCGGGTAACATAGACACCTACAATGGCACTGCAAGATGACTCTTTTTTTTTTTTTTTTTTTGTCTTTTTCCTTTTTATCGGTACCAGGGATCGACCTCACAACTGCCTGCTTGCAAGGCAGGCGCTTATGCCGCTGAACTAAATCCCCAGCCCCTTGCAAGATGACTCTTAACAAGGAGGAAAAGCCAAGGGTGGTGGCATATGCCTGTGATTCTACTACTTAGGAGGCTGAGGCAGGATTGCTATTGAGTTTGAGGCTAGCATGTGCTACAGAGTTCAAGACTGGCTTGAATTATATTACACAGCAAGATCCTGTCTCAAAAAACTCAAAACCAAACCAAACCAGAACATGGAGGAAGCACAGCTGACAGGATGCTGGTCCATAATGACACATTCATCCCAACACCCCGGATGCAGCCAGACCTGAAGCACCACGCCACTTCTTGACTCTTTTTAGTGAACGGAAAATAAATGTTACTGCTGCTTTTTCCCTTCAGCTATCTCAGTGCTCTTACTTGCATCTATGAAACCCCGCATTCAGCTTCCGCCCCCCTCATTCTGATGTCTGTGGCAGTTGGTGTAGGGTGCTGAGACCCAACAGCTATTCCTCACCCCCTCTACCATGTCTGTACTGCTTCCTGGAATAGTGAAGTCTAAATAGTACTGATCCCAGAGCTCCTGGCCTTGGTCAGTGAGATGTACGTAGTTGTATATCAAGGGGATTCTGGGGAAGGTATATTTTTCATTTTTTTCTGTAAAAGGAAGGGAATTATTGTTTATGATGTCTTTTATCTGGAACTGCCTGGTGTAAGTATATAGGTGATATATTCTATCATGCTAAGAGAAGCTCGGAAGTCCTACTTTCATCAATTCCATAGTAAATGCTGATCCCCAGAAATGCAAAGTGTATTATGTACACAACCATACAAGATGGCACTGCCTATCTCAGGCCTTGAACACAAACAGGATGTCTGGAGCTGTGGCAGTAATCTTGTGCCCATGAGGGAAAAGTCCACAAAAATCACAGAAGCATCAGAGCCTCGATACAGTGGAAGAGCTGAATCATTGTACACAGATGCAGTGAGTGAGGCAAATAAAAATAAGAAGTCCTTGTTTATGGGGGAGCTTCTGACACCGCAGCCAGGACTGCTAGCACCCAGGGCTCCCTCCACTCACTCTTGTCATAGACTGGCTCAGAGAGCACAGGGTCCATCCTGCGTGTGTGTCCCTGATGGTCCCGATAGGAGGCCTGGAAGCAGATCCTCACGACGTTCATATCCACCTCCTGATGGTTCTTCAGGGAGCCGGCTGTGGGGACAGGGAGGCTGGGTGGCGGACGGGAACAGGAAGGGATGGACAGGGGGCCAAGTGCAGGTGCAGCCCAGCCAGGCGGGGCGGGGGCGAGGCCAGTGGGCGCTGGGCTCACCATTGTAGGGGTCAATGCCCAGCTGGATCTTGCGCTCAATGGCGGCCTCGATCTCCTTCTTCCGCACACACTGGATGCCTAGGTTGTTAAAGCTGTGGGCCGACAGGTGCAGTCGTGAGGTGCAGCGGGGGCCCCTGCTTGGGGTGCCCGGAGCAGGGCAGGGCCTTTTCTATTCTATTCCCCTTGCTCTGTCACTCCCCCCGCCCCAGTCCTAGGGCTTGAGGCCAGCGCCACTGCACTGAGCTACACAAACAGCCCCTTAAAATATTTCTTATTTTGAGACAGAGTCTTGCTAATCACTAAGCAGCCCAGGCTACACTCAAACTTTGATCCTCCTGCCTCAGCCTCCTGAGTGCTGGATCACAGGTGTGCTCACCATGACTGCTAGGTGTCACGGATTCTTTTATTTATTTGTATCATGATCGAACTCATGATCTTGTGCTTGCCAGGCAGGCGCTATGCTGCTGAGCTAGGCGCTATGCCCTCCAGGTGTGTTGAGGAGACCTGGGAAACTGCCTTACCTTTCCTACATGCAAACATAAGCCTCATTCAGAGAGGTAAACTTCAAATTAAACACCACAAGGCTGGGCGTGGTGGCACCTGCCTGTAATCCTTACACTTGGGAGGCTAAGGCGGGAGGATCTCTGCAAATTCCAGGTCAGCCTGGGCTACAAAATAAGTTCAAGGACAGCCAGGGTTGTATAGTAAACCATGTCTCAAAAACAAAAATAACGGGGCTGGGGATTTAGCTCAGCGGCATAAGCGCCTGCCTTGCAAGTGTGCGGTCATGAATTCGATCCCTGGTACAGATAAAAACGAAAAAGACAAAAAATAAAATAAAATAAAATAACCACCAGTGAAATTTCTGTCCTTGCACTCATCAAAGCAGCAAAGATGGAGCCACGTGCAAGGCATATATGCCTGTAATCCCAGCTACTTGAGAGGAGGATCACTGTAAATTTGAGGCCAGCCTGGACAGTTTAGCAAGACTCCATCTCAAGATAAAGTGAAAAAGGTTGGGAGGTAGCTGAATGGTAGAGTGCTGCTTGGCTTGATTTCTACTCTGCAAAAACAAAACCAAACAAAAAGCAGCAAGATGGAAGCATTTTGTGACAGCCTAAGCTGGTGAGATTGTGGAGAATAAGGTACCCTCCTGCAGCTGGGGGCTATCAACTGTGTGACACAGTGCCAAAAATAATTTCTGGGCATTGCCTATCAGCCAAGCACTGGAACGGGCTCTGAGATACTGCAGAGAATAGAAGACAGAAAATCCCTGCATTTTCTGCACATTAATAAATCATTAAAAGCATGCATATATCAGTTTACACCCAACAATTTCATTTTTTAAAGAACTGACCATAGAGAAAAAATAACATATATGTAAAGCTGCTCATAGCAGCACTATTAGTCATGGAACAACAAGCAACTGGAACCATCATAGGGGCCCATTAACAGAAGACTTAATTAACTGTGTAAGTCCACACCGTGGAATATTATACAGTCAAGAAGAATAACGGGACAATTGTACACATACTAATAGGGAATGATGTCCAAGATGACTGTGATGCAAACACAAAGAGCAGAGCCTGTGGACATGACTCAGTAGTAGAAAAGTGGCATGATATGCACAAGGCTTTGGGTTCCATCTCAGACCCACAAAAGTCAAAACAAAACAAGGTACAAATGTCAATTACTATTTATGAGGTGAGTATACCATGTACTTGCATATGCAGAGGGTACTGGGGATCAAATCAGGACCTTGCGCTTGCCAGGCAGGTACTATGCCCCTGAGCTGTATCCCCACTCTTTCTTTCTTTCTCTCTCTCTCTCTCTCTTTTTCTTTTTCTTTCTCTCTCTTTCTTTCTCTCTCTCTCTCTCTCTCTCTCTCTCTCTCTCTCTCTCTCTCTCTCTCCCCCTTCCTTCCTTCTTTCCTTCCTTCCTTCCTTCCTTCCTTTCTTTCTCTTTTTTCAAGACAGGGTCTCAGTATGCAATCCAAGCTGGCCTGCAATTTGTGATCTTCCTGCCTCAGCCTCCAGAATGCTGGCACTACAGCCCCCATGCCTGGCTCCAAGGCACATCTTTAGCTGTTTCCAGGAAAAGGCACTGGAAGCTAAAGTACCAAAGATTTCCATTATGAACGTCTGTTGTTTTGTTTTGCTTTGTTTTTTGCCCTTCCTGAGACAGGGTCTTGCTATGTACTCCAGGCTGCCTCAAACTCACAGTAATTCTCCTGCCTCAGCCTCCCGAACGCTAGGATTCTAGCCGTGCACCACCACACCCGGCTGAATCTTCAAATCCTAGTAAAGGGTAATATTTCACTAAAATTGAAAATCTTTCAATGTTACTGGAAATGCGTAAATTTTAAAGCGAGACAAGGAACAGGGCTTGCAGTTACATGGAGTGTGGAGTCAAATCCCAACTCTGCCATCAACCAACCGCCTGTGCTCCCCAACCTCAGAGCTTCCGCGTCCCCCTCTACAGCACGGGCAGAAACAGTACGTGCGACCGTGCACAGTGCAGAACCCCAGCCTCAGTTTCCCTATCGAGCAGGTGCAAAGAGGCTCTAGCCCGCCTGCCCTGCCCGGGCTCCCCTGCGTGCTCTCTCCCCATCGGGGTCCTGGCAGGGTGGGTACCTGTGCCGGGGGCTGACGTGGGGCCGCAGCCGCACCCTGCAGACGCCGTCTGCGCAGTCCTTTCCCACAAGGCTGTGCGGGTGCACACGGTGGGGCCAGTCCTTCCACACCAGGCATGCGGTCACCTCCACCTCCCGCAGCCCGCCACAGTCCCGAAGCTGCAGGAAGACAGGCACTAGTGGGGGGCCCCCCTGGCAGCCCACCCCGGGGAGGGGGATCGGCCGCCCCCGCCCCAGGCGAGACCAGGGAGGGGAGCTGACTTCTGGTCCCCACTCAGCAACCTGGGAAGTCCCGGGGATGTGCTACTGGCCCCACTGATGTCACTATCTATGTACCTACCCGGGGCTGAACCCAAGGCCTCACCGCTAAGCTGCTGGCCAGTCTTTTTTAAATGTATTATTTGGAGACAGGGAATTGCTGAGTAGCTGAGTTGCACAGGCTGGGCTAGACCCTGCAGGCCTCCTTCCTCAGCCTCCCAGAGTGCTGGATTACAGGGGTGCACCACTACACCGGGTTCTCAGGTGTTTTCTGTGGTCAAACTAAGAAAACTGGATACAGGCAGCTTCCCAGCTTCACACACAGATAATTTACTAATTCCCTGGGGAAAAAAACACACATAGAGAGGGACCTTATGCACCCCTACACTTCCCAGCTCAGATGCACCCACAGTGGGTACGGTGCCTTGCTACAGATTCAGTGTATCACCCGCAGTGCTAGGGACCAGCCGTGAACTGGGTGTGAGATTTCTCCAGATGTGTCATCAGATGTCTTAGCAATGGGACCCAAGTCTAAACTCAGAGCTGTCATCTTATACCCAGAGCCTGAAGATTTTTGTTTTGTTTTGCTTTTTGAGACACTGTCTCACTTCGTAGTTCAGGCCAGCTTTGAATTCACGGCGATCCTCCTGCCTCAGCCTCCCGAGTGCTGGGCTTCCAGGTGTGGGCGCCACTGCACTCTGCTGTAGATCACAGAGTTCTGAAGGGCCAGGCTGCACCTGCAGCAGGACATGCTGGGGACCCACAGCATCACTCCTCACTCAGCTCCACCTGACTCCGACCTGCAAGGCCCCTAGGTGAGCCCAAGTGCAGGGCCGGGTGGTGATACGTGAGCCATGAAAGTCAGTGAGAAGCCGGCATCACACTAGGGTAAGAGATTTTACAGCCGGGCGTGGTGCTGCACTCCTGTAATCCCGACACTCAAGAGGCAGAGGCAGGAGAGTGGCCCTGAGTTAGAGGTGCTAGCCTGGGCTACCTGATGAGACTGTCTAAAAAAACAAAATAAAGATTTTACTGATCATAATGGATTTCAACTGGGGTGATGGTTGTGCTATGTATACGGATGTGAAGACTCCTGCAGCTGTACCCTTAAAATGTGAGCAATCGAGTTTCAACTAAACTGCTGGGTGTGACAGTGAATCCCTGTAATCCCAGCAGTCTGGAGGCTGAGGCAGGAGGATCACCATGAATTTAAGGCCAGCCTAGGCTACATAGCACCACCCTGTCTCAAAATAACAAGGAAATTCGACTAAACGAGGAGAGAAAAGGCAGCTGTGTGAAGCCTGCAGTCCCTGCCACTTAGGAGGCTCGTCTGAACCCAGGAGTTTGAGGCCATGAGCCCCATCGTGAAAAAGAGAAAACTGAAAATTTCAAAGACTCCAGATTTTCAGATTCTTTTTCTTTAAAGTACACTACAGTAGCTAAATCTTGCATGTGGCCTATATTCCTATCAGCAGATGAGTGGCTGGAGAAAACTGGTCCCTCTATACCTTGGAGTAGTACTCTGGCATAAAGACAAATTTTAAAAAGGACGATAGGAGCAGGGGCTTAGCTCGGTGGCATAAGCGCCTGCCTGGCAAACGCAAGGTTGTGAGTTCGATCCTTGGTACCCCCCAAAAAAAGAAAGAAAGATAAACTTGAATCACTTGCAGGAAAATGAATGCACCTGGAGACCATAATGTTAAAGGAAAAAAATCAGACACACAAACTTAAATATCAAATACCAGAGCATAATATTTTTTTTTTTAGTCAGGGTTTCACTACATAGTTCAGGCTGGCCTTCAATTCACTGTGTAGCCCACACTCACAGCAATCTTCCTGCCTCAGCCTACTGGACAGACAGGCACCACTACATTCAGCTTTAAAGAATAAATAAAGTACCTTTACAAACTGTGAGCCAAAATAAACCTTCCTCCTTGAAAAAAAAATAAAGAGAAACAGACTCTGCAGAGATGGGAAGAGTTCTGGTGGTGGGGGGGGCAGAGGGAAGGAAAAAAAGAATTAAAAAGGAATACGAGGCTGAGGCAGGAGGATCACCACGAGTTCAAGGCCAGCCTGGACTACACAGCGAGCCCCTGTTTCAAAAAAAAAGCAAGGAACAAGATGTGCTATTTATCTGCACCAGTTCTCTACCCTGAACGTATTTTTTGTGTTTATCACTAGCATGCAAATTATGGCAACCAGTGCTGGGCCTCTTGCTAAGCAGCCATAGGTGACAGTCTACAGCAGCCGTCCCTGTGGTCAGTGACACACTCCGCCAGCCAATTAGCAACTCGAGGTCACCAGCTGAGTCCTGCAAGCATCAAAGACCCCCTGAAGCTAGCTTTGAGCTTCTGAAGTCCAAATCTAGGAACTAAAACTAAGGGAACCAAAGGGGGCGTGCTGCCCTCTAGCGGCCGGATGGGACACTGCGGTGACCGGCGGTCTCCGTGCTGGGGACCCACAGCAGGCAGCAGACAGGACCCCAGGCGCGGTTCTGTGGTTCTGTGGTTCTGTGGTTCTGTGGTTCTGTGGCGGGGACAGCTCCGCACACCCTCTCAGGACTCTCACGTCTTCTGCAAGTGCTGCCAGGCACCTGCGTGAGCAACAACCCTGTTCAAAATGATCACAGCCTGGAACTGAGCTGTTTTACTTTTTTTAAAAAAATGTTTTTGTAGTGGAAATTGAACCCAGGGTCTTTCTACTAAGCTATATTCCTAAATTTATTTTACTCTTTTGAGATAAGACCTGGCTAAATTGCTCAGGGTGAGCTGGAACCTGCAACCCTCCTGCCTCAGCCTCCCGGAAAGTTAGGATTATAGGTTCCCCCACATCAGGATACCCTGAATTGCCAAAGTCTGCCACCATCATGTCAGTAGACCAAGGATGGCCTGCCACCGTGGGAAAGCCCTCAGCACAGCAGCCCTCTGCAGTAGCCTTAGGTTACCAGGGACGCAAGGCTGGGTCTCGTTAGTGATGGATCTCAGAGGATCCCAAACAACTGCTGCCTTCATGGGGCTTCCCAGGGCTGTGCCTGTGCCCTTACACACAGGAGTAAATGTGCTTACCGATGCTGTAGTAATACTTTTATGTTTGGATTGTTTTCAGTACTGGGATTGAACACAGGGCCTTTACACTGAGCTACACCCCAGCCCTTTTTATATTTTGAGGCACTGGGGTCTAGCCGGTTGCCAAATTCCCCCAGATTCGCTTAAGCTTGCCATCCTCCTGCCCCAGCCTCTTAGAGTGCTACAAATACAGGTGTGTGCCACCATTTCCAGCTCTTTATTCTTCCTTTATAGGGTAATGTAGTTTTTTTTGTTGTTTTTTTCCTTTTTATTGGTACCAAGGATTGAACTCACAACTGCCTGCTTATAAGGCAGGTGCTTATGCTGCTGAGCTAAATCCCCAGGCCCCACAATGTAGCTTTTTAAAAATTTTTCTGTATTCGTTTTTTTGAAAGAGGGTCCCACCGATGAAATTGAAGCTGGCTTTGAACTCGCAGCAATCCTCCTGCTTCAGCTTCCCAAGTGCTGGGATTACAGGTATGCCCACCACACCTGGTGTGTGTGGCATTATGGATTTGCAGGGTGACTGTAAGGTAGGCAATAATGTCATAAATGTGTCAGGGTTAAAACTACTCCTTAATTTTAGGGGATTCGGCAAGCTCAGAGTCAGTGGCCTCAAGACTGATGGGGTCCCTGGGACAGAAAGTTTCTCAACTCAAAGCTGTCATGTGGCACCACAGCTAAGCCAGCCATGTGTGGCACTAAGTCCAGGCTCCACCAAGGGCCACCAACTGAGCACCTCCTCCAGCCTTGGCGAGTTCCTGCGTCGCATGGGTATTGGTCACCACACCAAAATGGGAGTCGAAGAAATTGGCCCTGACACAGCCTCCCTGAGCCTCAGTTTCCTCCTTGGAATGAGGGAGATAAACACCACAAACACAGACTTGGAGATGAGCCCACTCCCTCTTGTTGGGGATTTATAGTCCTAACCATGTGGAACTGAAGCCAACGCTAGGCAAGAATAACCCCCGGGCTGGCAGAGATCAGGAAAGCGAGGAAATACTACCAAGGGACAGCCTCGTCCCTAGCGTGGAAAGACTTCCGAGACCAATGCAAGCAAAGGACCCCACTCACCATCACCCAAATGGGGACAAAGTAGTGTCCCTGTTCTGTGATGTGACATGCAAAGAACACAGCCTGCTTCCTGGGACATCTGTCCCCCAAATGCACTCCCTGATCAGATCTGATCTGATCTGATCTGATGACAGACACAGAGTGTGGGACATTCCACGGTGTTCCCCACAATGTCCAGGTCGGAGACAGGAAGACAGACTGAATGAAGGCCCATTCAGGCTCAGAGATGCCTAAGACCTGACAGCTAAATGCTGCACTTAGTTGGGTATGGTTGTGTACCTCTGTAATCCTAGCACTGGGGAGGCTGAGGCAAGAGGATCACCTTGAGTTCAAGGCCAGCCTGGGCTACAAAGTGAGTTCAAGGCCAGCCTAGAATACACGGTGACACCCAGACTAAAGAAAACAAAACCAAACCTGCTGTATGTGATCCTAGGATCCAGGACTGGGTGTTAAACAAGACAACAAAAGAAGCAATAGCCTTCAAGGCTATTTAGGGTGGGGGGGATTAGCATAGACACTCATTAATTAACACCACTGTCTGAATGTTAAATTTCTGTCTCATTCTGGGGTGATGGTAGACACCTAGAGTCCCACCAGTCCAGAGACTGAGGCAAGAGGATTGCTACAAGTACAAGGCCAGCCTGGACTACACAGCAACATGATGCAAAATGATTCAACACTTTAAAACAAGAGCGGGGCATCCCAGAGCCCTTGACCAGTCTATGCACGAGGCCCACCATGTATGTGTTTCATCCCCAGTCTGCGAAAAAACAGAAAGAGAAAGGAAGGAGAAAGCAAGCAAGTATAATGATGATGCCTGGTTCTGTCTTTCCGTGTTCTGGGCTTACCCTAGAGTCCCCGCCACCTCGGTGCCTAGGGAACAGCCTCACTTCTAGTCTCTGCACAGCCTGCACACACTTGGGCGCTGCAGTGTAGATGGTGGAGTTTAACCCCAGCTCCTGGCCACGCTAACGGGTGCAGTAGGCAACCTGCACCTCCGCTCACCCAGCTTCGGGCACAGCTACAGGTCAGACTCTGACCAGGAATGGCCAGGCTATGGAAGAGGCTCTTGGTGTATAACTCACGCAGTCCTCCCTGATAAACCAAGGTGGTTAGTACTACCATCCATTTGTGTGGGGGTTTTTTTGTCTGAGACAGGGTCTCGCTATGCAGTTCAGGCTGGCCTTGAGCTCACTTTGTAGCCCAGGCTGGTCTTGAACTCCCAATGATATTACTGCCTCAGCCTCCCGAATGCTAGGATTACAGGCATGAGCCACCACGCCCGGCTCTACCATCCATTTGGAAGAGGAAAAAAACAGACACAGAGAGACCCAGAAACCAGCCCAGGCTGTGCGACTAGTAGAATGACAGAAGCTGGACTTGAACCCAAGTACCTGATTCTTCCAAGCTCTTTTGTAAACTAGGAGGCCAAAATGTCACTCACTCACGGAGATCCTCCTGTGTCAGCCTCAGGATTGCTAGGATAAACAGGCGTGGGCCACCGCAGGGTCTCACGGTTTGGGGGAAGAGGGCTTTCTTTGAATGCCAGCCTGGACTGGGACCAGGTGCTCCAACCCCTGCCCCTCCCCCACAGCGAGGGCAGCGCGACCACCCCCTGGCCGCGCGCGGCTCACCTCGATGGCAGGCAGTGTCTTGCTCGCCTCCGTGCTGCTCTCGCCCAGGATGCTGCCGGCGGAGCGGCCCTCGCACTCGTAGCGGAAGCGCATCCCGCGCTGCTTGGGCTGCTCGGTGATGACCAGGTGCGGCCGCCGGCTGGGTGGGCAGACCCAGGACGGGGGTGTGGCGGGGGGCGGGGCGGCGGGGCCCAGGGTGACCGTGCTCAGCGAAGCCGCCCCGCGCGACACCAGGCGCGGCCCGTCGCCCAGCCCCGACTGCGCCCCCTCCAGGCCGAAGCCGTTCTCCTTTATGTACTCGTCGATGATCTCTGCGGGAGAAACCCGACAGAGGGCTTAATCAAGGCGGAGCCCCAGCTGTCCTTCCACGCCATCCCTTCCTTCCGGAGTGAACCTCGGGGAGTCGGGGGGGGGGGAGGCTGAGCCAGGACCTTCGCACTGAGCTTGCCCCAGCTCCCCAGTGCTGGGATTACAGTTGTGCGCCACCGCTCCGGGGTCCCCCAGGCCTTTTTTGTTCTTCATTTCGAGAGGGTCTCATTAAATTGCCAGGCTGGGCTTGAATTTATGGCGCTCCTGCCTCAGCCTCGCAGTGTGCTGCAATTATAGGTGTGCACCCCTGCTGTCCAGCACTACTTTTGGCCACTGGGGCCACAGCTCTGAACGCGACAAAGTCGTACCCCATGTCGGGCACAGGCCGGCACCTCCACCTCTCTTGGCTGAAACCAGAAATTGGGGAATCACCCGATTGCTATATCATTCTCCTGCCTTAGTCCCCACAGGGCTGCCTCTCCCGGACACAGAAGGGGCTGGCCCTACAACAGCTGCTCCGCGGGTCCTACTGTTCCAGCTGGAAGGGTTCTTGTACTGGGCAACCCTGGGACCCCCACCTCCCAGCCTGGAGAGCTTAGATTCCAGGTGCTGTGTGTAGCACATCTGGAAGGGCCCTCTTCACTGCCCATGAGCCTGCACCTGCTAAGCCTGATCCATGCAGCATGTGTTCCTCTTTGTTTTATTTTAAAAATTGGCCCAGCCTGGCAGGGGCCACGTCCTGAGGCTGAGTGAGGCAGAAGGATCCCAGTGAGTTCAAAGTCTGCCTCAGTTATTCAGTGTGCTCCAAGCCAGCCTGCACAGCCTCACACAGTGAGACCCTGACTCCAAAAACAAAAGACTTCCTTTCCCTCGGTTCTCCCCACCCCCACTGCTGCCCCCCAATCACCCTCCATCCCTCAAGGACCAGCCTTGCCCCTGCACCTGCCCCACACATGGGGTTTTGCTTGGTCCTGGCCTGTCTCAGTGCTGCTCAGAAGCCTCCCAGGGCTCCCATCTCCCTGAGGTCAATGGCAACACCCTCCCCAAACTCCATCCATCTCTGAAAAAAGCCCCACACCCTTGTCACTTACATCCCCAGAGCTGCTCCTCCCAGCTTTTCCCACTTCGCCCCAGATTGGCACCTCCTCATCCTTCCCGTCTTTTTTTTTTTTTTTTGTACCGGGAATTGAACTCATAACCTCACACTTCCAGGCAGGTGCTTATGCCACTAAGCTAAATCCCCAGGATCTTTCCAGTCTTGAAGTGGGCTCTCTGAAAGGCTGACACACAGGTCTCCCCAGGCCACGTGCCTCTCATTCACCCCTTCACAGCCGTGGCCTCTCCTGAGGCATCGGGTTCATCCCTTCTCTGTCGCTGTCCCCCGCTGCCCGTGGCTGGATGCCCAGTGCCCAGCACAGTGCTGGTCCCCAGGAGGGCTCCCCAACACTTGCTGTATGAATGGCGCTCCTCACAGTCACAGTAACACTAAGGCCACTAACACAGGTGCGCAGTATCTTCTGGGTCCTTGCGAGTACAGTCCCAGGAGTCACATGGTGCCCCAGCCCCAACCCCAGCAGCCTCTGGAGCCCTCGGCCCCTCCCCACACATGTGCCCCAGATACTCACCCAGTTCATCTGTGGAGGGAAGAGAAGAGAAAGGCGAGGTCAGAGGTGGCCAAGACTTGGCGTTTTCAAGACAGATGCCCAACCCCGTGTCTCTGGTAACGTTCCAGCTTCCTCCGTCCTGGGAACCCTGCGGTGATGCACTGGGGTACCTACTCCCACCCCCACGTCCCATCAGCCCCTAACCTTGGGGACCTGGCATCTTCAAACTAAATCAAATGTCCCCCCAAAACATTTACACCACGGGTCAGGAGGTGGGTGCCATGGAAAAGCAAAGGGTTTTATTGCCAGGAAAAGCAATGGATGCCTTGGATTCTAAACAGACTTGGGGCTCCCCACTAGGCCCCAAGGTTCCTGGCTGCTGTCCACAGGTCTGAGGGCGCTGCTCTTGTGAATCCAGAGCTGTGTGCGAGGCTCCCTGGCCTGGCGCTGGAGGTGCCCACCCCAAATGCCACATTCAGCCCTACTTCCTGAGGGAGGAGCGACAGCAGTGTCCTCTGTCACCTCCCCCAGCAGAAGCAGGCCTTCCAAGGGGCTGCGGAGAAACAGAAACCAACCTCCCGTCATTGCACAGGCAGGAAGGGGACTCCTAGAGACACAGTGAGCCCAGGGGTCACACAGCAGGGAAGCACAGCCTGAACACATGCCCACCCAGCGTGGCTGTGCAGGCCACTGGCTGGGGACTGAACCTCGGAGACCTGCCCGCTGCCAGGTCTGCCTTCTTTGTGCCCAGGGAGTGGCTCCTGGTGCCCAGAACTTTGTCCCTGGGAAGGCTGGTCTCTTGCACCCCTATCACATGTCACCTGCAAAGTCACAGGGTGCCAAGGTCTCTAGAGGACATGGGGATACTGAGGCTGAAGAGAGGAAGAGACTTGGAAAATCCTTGCTAAACACCTGTGCAGGATGAACCTGGGGACCTAAAGACAAGTTTGCCTGGGGCTATTTGGTAGCTGCAGAGGCTCCATGGAGCGGAGGGAGGTTAAGTCTTGAGTAGCAGTGCTGGGTCTTGGGACCAATGGCCTCCGTTCCAATCTTGGCTCTGCTACTTGCTAGCTGTGTGCCTTGAGCCCATTACTAAACCTTTTGTGTGCTTTAGTCTTGTCCTCTCTGAAATGGGCAAAACAAACCAGGGTTTGTAGTGCACACCTGTATCCCAGCACTCAGGAGGCTGAGGTAGGAGGACTGCAATGAGTTGGAGACTAGTCAGCTACACAGTGAGACCCTATCTCAAAAACAACAACAAAGATTCCAGCAGGCCTTCGTTACAGAGCGAGCATGGTGTATATGCTTGTAATCCCAGCACTCCTGAGAGTCAGGCAGGAGGAATCCTGTCTCAGAATAAAAAAGAAATAGGAGGAGGAGAAGAGGAAGAAGAAGTAGAAGAAGAAGGGGAAAAAGAAAGAGGCACAGTAATAATGCCTACCTCACTGGGCTTGAATACTTTTCAAAATTAGTGTGTGCAGGAAGACTTTGAACCAGCAGGTGTTAGGCACCCCAAAATGTTGGCTGCTATGGAACAAGGTATTGGGAGACATGTTTCATGGGACTGAGTTATCTCTTCCCCTTTCCACGCCTTGATTTGCCTGTCTACAAAATGGGTAAGCTAGAAGGCACAGTTTTAGAGCTTGGGGTGCAGAGTTACACAGAGGTGGCTTAAATCTCAGGTATCTACACACTGATTATGTGACACTGGGCATTACCAAGCCTATTCTATGGAATGAAGTCTAAGCAGCCACTCTGGGGTTAACATGAGGATTCAGGATCACAGGTGGCAGGAATGGTGGCATACTCTTGTAATCCTAGTGTTTGAGATGCTAAGGCAAGAAGATCGCCGTGCATTCAAGAGGAGCCTGGGCTACATAGTGAGTTCAAAGCCAGCCTGAACTACACAGTGAGACCTTGTCTCAAACAAACAAACAAACAAACAAACAGGATCACACAGGCCAACTGCTTAACACAGGACCTCACTTCCATGTTCCTTCCATAGAGCGTGGCTAATTTTTCTTTTTTAACTACTGAGGATTGAACTACTGAGGGCCTTTCTTCTATTTTATCTTTTATTCTGAGACAGGGTTTCACTAAGTTACTAAGTTGCCCAGGCTGGGCTCAAACTTGCAATCATCCTGCTTCAGCCTCCCAGAGTGCTGGGACAGCAGGTATGTATACCATGCCTGGCTCCACCCTACTATTGAACATCACTAACCCTAAGATTTCTTCATAGCCTCTATTTGGCTTTATAATCCCATGTTTACTGTTTACATATCTGCCTCCCCATCTGAGGATAGGGAAGGGGTAGGGCTATCTCTGACTCTGCTATCGCCCCTATTAGCACTGTCCAGCAGAGGGCCAGGTATATAACAGGTGTTGAATAAATATTTAGTGAATAGATGATATCAGAATTACTCCCATTGAAACCAAATACCTTGCTCTCTTGACCTCAGGAACACAGTCTTAGCCTTGTCCCTCCCCAGAACCAGTGTTTGGGTCACATCTGTCCTCAGTGCCATTCCCCATCTTGTCACCACACCGCCAAACCTTCCGACCTATTGTGGAAGCTGCAGTGCTTCCTCAATGGCCAAGCCAGCAGCTGTCCGCCTCCACCATCCTAGAGTGAACCCAGAGCCTTTGGGCTGAGCTCCATTGCCATTCTTTTTTTTTTTAAACTCTTTTTTTTTTTACCGGTACCGGGAATCGAACTCATGACCGCCTGCTTGCAAGGCAGGTGCTTATGCTGCTGAGCTAAATCCCCAGCCCCAAAACTCTTTTTTTTTTTTTTTTTTTTTTTTGTACTGGGATCAAACTCACGACCTCGTACTTATAAGACAGGCACTTATGCCGCTGAACTAAATCCTTGGTGCAATTCTTTTTTTAAATCTTTTATTTTGACATTAAATTGCTAAATTGCCCAGGGATGGGCGTGAATTTTCGATCCTCCTGCCTCAGTCTTCCAGAGTTCAAGGCCAGCCTCAGCTACATAGCAAGACCCTGTCCAGAGTGTTGGAACCATAAACACACACTACCCCAACACCACACTGACCCAAGACAGCATCTCTGGGATTCACCCAAAGATTATCCTTCCAGACAGGATCCCTGACACAGCTAACTGGGGTCACAGAATAATCACAATACAACTCTCAACCCTGGGGTGGTGGTACATGCCTATAATCCCAGCACTCAAGAGGCTGAGGCAGGAGAATCGCCATGAGTTTGAGACCAGCCTAGACTGCACAGCAGAGCCATGTCTCAAAACAAACCACAACAAAAGCACTTAGGAGGCTGAGGCAGGGGTATCACTGAGAGTCTGAGGCCAGCCTGGGCTGCATAGTGAGTTCAAGACCAGTCTATACTACACATTGAGACCCTGCCTCAAAACAAACAAACAGTAAGACTCTTACCTTATCTTCCAAATTCAAACAAACTTAGGAGAAAAAACATGTCAAAGTTTGCTCAGAATTCTTTACACACTAAGAGTTCTCAACATCTCTTGCAAACTCTAAAAATACAAATTCTCAGGGCCTGTCTAATTCAATGACTGAATCAGAAACTCCAGAAGTAGGAAGGATCTGACAGTCTGCTTTCATAAATTCCCTGAGCGACTTTTTTCGTTTGTTTGGTTTGGTCTTTAAAGAACCACCGACTTAAGCAGGGCATAGTGGTGTCTGCTTGCGATCCTGGCACTATGAAGGGCCATTCCTGGGCTACATGAGTTCCAAGCCATTTGGACTACGGAATGAGACCTTGTTTCAAAAACCAAACAAAAATATGATTTAATGTTATTTGCTAGTACCAGTTATTATTATCATGAGATCACACCACCAGCAGTGAGCGCTTAAGGAGTTTCTACTGGATGCCAGATGCTGCTTTGCGAATTAACCTGTATCAACACAGCAGATCGGCTCTCTTGTAAAGCAGGGCACTGATATTATTCCCATCTGACAGATGAGAACAGAGGAGGCACCAATTGGGGAAGTGACTTGCAGATATTGGGTAGGGGGTGACAGGGCAATGGCAGCAGTAAAGACCAAGATGGCAGTCACAAACTTACTCTGCTGTGCCTCGGGAGTCCTTTTAGATGCCAGCACCATGTTACTCGCACTGGTCAAACTCTTAATTGTCCAGGAAGTGGGACGCCTAAGGGACCGTGTCAGTGGACAGGGCAGGACACAGCCCATCACAGGAAAACTGAAGGGGACTCCCGGGAAATCCCCCAAAGGCGTCTCCGCAGGGACTCCCCGACCCCAGCCCGCGCGGCTGCTCACCTGCGGTCCTGGACACAGCCAGCGGGAGCGCGAGGTCGGCAGCAGCGGGCCCTGGAGAGGAACGCAGGTCTCAGCGGGTCCCCCACCTGGGTCCTCTTTTAGCCCCACCACTGTGGTCAGTCCCCGTCCCCATTCTATCGGCAGGGTCCAGCCAAGGCTCCATCCCTAAGTCCTGCCCCTGCCATTCATCTTACCCTTCATCAGGGACTCCGTCGCAACCTGTTAGGAAAGCCCCCGCCCCTTCTCCCAGCGCCACTCTAGACTCCCACACTTTCCCATTGTCAAGCCCGCCCCTCTGCCCTCTAGAGACAAGACCCGCCTTCCTCATTCTCCAGTCAGATCCTGCCCTTCAGTTTTCAGAAAGGGCCCTTTTCCTTCTCCCGGCAGTCAGGCCCTGCCCCTCACACCTCCTGAGGCCTGCTTTCTTCTTTATATTCGGCCCCGCCCTTTTCCCCCATCCTTAGGCAGACCCCACCCCCTCAGTCGAGCCCCGCCTCTCCTTTTACGCGCCTGGCCCCGCCCCTCTCCCTCTCCGGAGCGGCTCCCGCTCCTCCTTCCCAGAGCCAGGCCCCGCCTCCTCCGCCTCAGGCAGCGGGGCCCCGCCCCCTTCTCTGCCTCAGAGTCAGGCCCCGCCCCCTCCTCACTCTACCGCCCGATGCCTCGCCTATACCACGGGCCGGACCCTTCCCCATCCTCTGCCTCCTCCCGCCCCTCCAATACGGTGTCCCCGCAACGCTCACATTCTCCCCGCGAAATGGCCGGACTCCTGTAGGCGCCCCCAGACTATCCCGGACCCCTAGAACTCCCACATCCCAGCCTCGCCCCAGACTTCTCGCCCGAACGCCCGCTCCGCTCACCCAGGGCCCCCAGCTCCGGCGCAGCGGGCGGTCTGGCGACGCGGCGACTCGGCATGGCCCGGCCAGTGAGGACGGGCGGCCCGGAGGCCGGCCCAGACCGAAGCACGCAGGCGGGCACGCCGGGCGGCCCAGCGGCACAGGCTGATGGACGTCCGCGGCTCGGGCGAGCGGCACAGGCCCGGGGCCGCGGGCCGGGCAAGACGCGCGGCGCCCGGGGCTGCGGGGGGCGCCGGCAGAGCCCGGCGGGCGGCGGGCGGGGGCGGGGCGGCGGAATTCCCCGGCGCCGCCAGCCTGCGCGCCCATTGGCCTGCACCCCTTCGTGACGTCACGCTAGGGGAATGGGAAAACCCCGCGTGTCACGTGACTTCGGGGGCGGGACCGGCCGGGAAAGGGAGGCTGAGCGGTGTGGAGGGGCCAGATGCGCGTCGCTGCCCAGTGTTGGGCAGAGACTACAGAGAGCTGCTTAAAGCCGTTCATGCCCGACCCCTTAAGCAAGCCGGGAAACTGAGCCCCCGCCCGCTCTCCCAGTAGGACTTGAACCTGCTGTCTCTCAGGCTGAAGGGAAGCTTCGGGAGGGGGAAGTTGCCAGGGCTCTGCTGCTGCGTTAGTGACAGTGATCTTCACCAAACCGTCAAGGTCGCACCTCGCTTAGTCTCTTTCATTGTAAATAAGGATGAAGACATTGAACCAACGTTTAAAGCTATGACATCAGAATGTAGATGTCTGTTTAGTTCCTTGTGTCCCCACACTCAAAACACGATAGGGTGGGTGCCCACGGATGTTCTGGAGTGAGCGAATGACGCTGTATTTATTTTGTACGGCAGTAGCCAAGAGTGCTTCATCCCGTACCTCAGCAGCAGGGAAAGGGGGCTCGTTTGAAAAGCAAGCGCTAGGACCAGGGTTCTTGGGGAGGTGGCTGAGTCTCAGGGCAGCCCTTGACTTGATCACATTCCTAAGCCTCCTGTGCCCCGGAGAATGACATCCGGGTTCCAGACTTTGGGGCATCCTCTGTTGGTTTGTGTGTGTAAAATTTTTTTTCCAACTAAAAATACTGCCTACTCTGTGTAAAATTTAGTGTTCCACCTCTTTGTGGCCCACGTGGACTCACTAGCACACGCTGTGTGCCACAGCCCGCACCTCACTTACCTGGGCTTCATCTCTCTGAACTCATTTTCCATCTGTCAAATGATGGTAGGCTGGTCGTAAGCATTAAACAATGTAATAGTTAACACTTGTATATACTGTAGCTCTTTCTTATGCGAGGCACTGTTGTAAGCACTTTATGTCCCAAATGATTGTGCCACATTACTTTGTGACTTTGGACGAATTCCATTTCTCTACGCCTGTTTTCTCAGTTAGATGGGGATAGCCGGGGATTTATTTAGCTCAATGGCGTAAGTGCCTGCCTGCCAAGCACTAGGTGGTGAGTTTGATCCCCAGTACAAAAAAAAAAAAAAAAAAAAAAAAAAATCTCCCATTAGGTGGGGATAAACCACCATAACTCACGGGATTGCTGTGAACATTCAACTTACAGAACTCTTAGGGTGTAACAGTGTCCCTCGGTGCTCCAGAAACATAGTGCCCGCAAGGCCTACGTTTCTGGCCATCTCCGTTGGTCTGTGACAAAAGCCCTTGCACTAAGCCAAGCGAGACAGCTGGAAAGTAGATGAGCAAAGATGTGTGATGGCCATGGAATTAAAGAAGAATAAAGCAAGAAACATGAATTGAGTTTGGAGAGTTTGAGGAGCTCAGGAGAGGACATTTGAGTTGAGAATCTAAAAGTGCAGGGTTCATGTGAGTACCTGGGACACATGTTCAAGGCCCAGCGAGTGCAAAGGCCCTGAGGTAAGAAAGAACATGTGTGGCATGTTTTAAGGAACAGCAAGGGACCCTGAGTAGCAATTGCTGGGTAAGGCATGGAAGGAAGGCCAGAGTGATGGCCTGCAAGGTGCCGGAGACACTGAGCAATAGGAAGTTTTAATGGATAAAACAAACCACAGACAGCACTTAGACTGGAACTTGGCTCATGATCAGGGGTGACAGAGTGACTCTTAGAGAATCAAAAGCCCACTTGTTTGCCTGCTGGTGCTTCCAATGTCAGTCTCGTATAAGCTGGGCTGGGGATGGAGCTCTCAGGTAGAGCACTTGCAGGCAGGCACAGGGCCCTGGAATCCACCCCTCCTACCACAAATAAGTAACAGTTTGTTGAGTCAATAACTAACAGAACATGTCAGAGTCAGATATCCTGTCTTCTGATGGACCATGCACTCACCAGGGCCAGCCTGGGCCTGTCTTGGTCCCAGCTGTGTACCCAGAATCCACAGCAGGGACTTGCTGAGGCAGCATTTGTTGTGTGTCACCATCTCTCCCCACTGTGTCTGAATGTGCACCCATCAAGGCCCACATCTCCCAACAGGTGCAGGTGGGGTCTGTGAATGCCAGCACTGTTCATGCGTGCAGCAGAGGAGCTGGGGACACAACAGTCACCAAGGCAGCACTGGTGGTGTTGTCAAGGGTCTAGGGCTAGAGGAAGAAGACTGGTCCCTATACAGTGATGACCCAGGGTAGGCAGGGCTGCCCCGAGAGCCCAGAGGACATGGACAGCATGGTGGACACGCTGGAGGAAGAGACATGGGCACTGCCACCTGGAGGATGGCTGGGGCAGGGAGTAAAGGAGCCAAGAGCCTGAGGGGCCAAGGCTGGAGCAGTTAACAGGCATAAGTTCTTGCCCCTAGAAGCCTACTACACTCTGGAGGACAATGAGGAGCCACGGAAGGCTCTGAGTCAGGGACGGGCAGTGTCGGGTTTGTAGGGGTCTTGGGGGGGCAGGGGTGCTGGGGATGGACCATAGGTGTTGTGCATGGTTAGTACTCTACTACTGAGCTACATTGTTTTGTTTTTTAATTTTGAGACAAAAATTTTCACCAACTCCCCAGGCTGGCATCAAACTTTTTTTCTTCAAGACAGTGTCTTGGTATGTAGTTCAGGCTGGTCTTCAACTCGCTGTATAGCCTAGGCTAGCTCGAACTCACAGCAATCCCCCTACCTCAACCTCCCGAGAAGGTGGGTTTGAAGGCATGCAGGACCATGGTTTACAGCTTCGTACTTTAGATTGTCCTAGCCAGGTGTGATGGTATATACACCTGTAATTCCTGCATGCTGGAAGGCTGAGGCAGGTGAATCAAAAGTTTGAGCCCACTGGGCGTGGTGGCTCATGTCTATAATCCCAGCACTCGGGAGGCTGAGGCAGGAGGATCATTGTGAGTTAGAGACCAGCCTGGGCTACAAAGTGAGCTCAAGACCAGCCTGAAATGCATAATGAGACCGTCTCAAAAAGACAAAAACAAAACAAAAGTTTGAGCCCAGCCCAAGCAACTTAGGGATTTCTAAAACAAAGAAGGGCTGGGTTGTGAGTTGTTATTCAGTGCAAAGGCCCTGGTTTCAGTCTCCAGTACTACCAGTAACAATGTGCTGCTAGATGGCATAGGAGGCAGTGTCAGGAGCCCAGAGAGCAGGCTAGGCAGGGCCACAGAGCTGACAAGCTTGTCCTAGCTGTTCTCAAGTGGCAGCCAAGGGGTGAGGCTCCCAAGCAACAGAGGGGTGTAGCTGATGGGCCTTGCAAGAAGTGTGGGGCGCGGCTGTGGGAAGAGCTGGAAGCAATGGGGCTAGTGGGTCAGGGTGGCCTGAGAGCCTGCATTCCATCCTGGGTCTTAGGGGCCCTGCACAGAAGCCATGCTGCAGAGCCCAGGGCTCCTCCGAGGGCACTGGGTATCTATGAAATGATGTAAAGCAGGGGATGAGAGCTGCACCTGGAGGTGGTGGTGGTGGGGTGCTGGCATCACACTTGCAGGGCTCCCTAAGCACCCAATTTCCCAGGGACCTCAGTCCCTGCCTGGCTCTGCAGGGTGGGCAGCAACGGAACCTGACAGAGCAGGGCATCTGCAGGGCTCATGAGACCACCTCAAAGATGAATCTGGGAATGTGGGGCCCCTACCCTGCAGGCCTCCATCACCTCACCTGCACAGTGGTGCATAGTCACTGTTCTCAGGGAGGGGGCCAGGAAGGCACAAGTGCCATCTGTTGATGGCCTGGCTGGATCCTTGGTCCCACCCCTACATCTCTGGGGCACCACAGCGCCCTTGGTGCTTGCCCATCCCCACATGCTGGAGTGGGAACCCATTTAGGTGCCCTGCTAAGAGGAAGCCGGAGAGGAAGCTCTAGGCACCCCAGGGTCTGTGGAATGGGGAGTTTTAGGAGGACAGAAGGCAGAAAAAAAAAGAGAAATACAGCTGGCTCCAACCAGAAGTCACTGTTGCCATCCCATGCCTTGGACCTGCAGCAGGGCCACCTCCCCAACCTTGAAGCTGTTCCAAGTGACAGGAAGGAAGGCCAGGATGGGAAGTTGTTGGGTTTAAGTTAAACACCCATATGAATTTATTAAATCCAGACTGTTAAAGGGTGGCGGTCTGGGAGGACGGGGTCAGGGGACGAGGGACAAGATGATGGATGACCGAAGGCGTCCCACAGCGGGGCCCCGGCCCCTCTCTGCCCGGCCCCTCCCAGCGCCAAGTCAGAGTCACCATGATTCCCAGTGGTGTTGGGGGGCAGGGCGAATGGCTAGAAAGACACAGGGACAGACGGACAGTCGGCGCCTCCGCAAATATCGAGTCTGGCCTGCCTTGGCCCCTCATCACATGCCAGGCCCTGGCCCGAGGGGACCTCCCACTGCCCGGCCCGATCTGTCCAGGGGAGGGGCCATAGGGAAGGGAGGCGGGGGCCAGGGTGGCAGGGTGTGGTCACTAGGAGCCAGATCGGACGAGGAGGACCAGATCGGACAAGGAGGACTGTGGTGGTTAATCCTTTTTCTTGTCCTCTGCTGGCTTTGGAGGGGCTTCCTGGGGCTCAGATGTAGTAGCCTCCTTGCTGGCTGAAGTGGCAGGCGCAGATGGAAGGGCCCCTGCTGTCGTGGGGGCCTGGGGCACAGGGGCGGCTGCTGTGACATCCTCTCCACTCATGCCGAACTCGTTCACACGGGTGGGGTCGACGCGGTAGATCCACCGTTGGTAGAGGTAGATGAAGAACACCACGTCTGTGGGCACAGGTGGCATGAGGCAGGGGTGCCCACCCTCAGCCTGATGTAGAGGTGCCTGTGGGCCTGGGTCCCACCCCTGCCCACCCAACCACCCGTGGGGCCTCACCATCCCGCAGGCAACCGATCCGGTACATGACAGGCATCTTGATGACGAAGGCGAACAGGTCATCGATGAAGGTGTTGAGGGCCTTGTAAGTGAGCATGCGCCATGGCAGGTGGGCCACAG